AAATCCATAAATGTAACATGCCACATTACAGAACCATGAAGAAAACACATGCTCATCTTAATAGATGTAGAAAAGGCATTTGACAAATCCCAACACACATACATGATAAAAATCCTGCAGACAAGTAAGTTAGAAGGATTTTATATCAATCTGATAAGACCCATCTATGACAAACCAATAGCCAACAACATGTCGAATAGTCAAAATTGAAAGCTTTCATATAGAATCAGGAAAAACATGAGGATGCCACTATCACTACTCCTGTTCATTATAATTATGCAAATATTTTCCAGAGCAATTAGAAAAGAGAAAGAAATAAAGGGAACATGAATAGGAAAAGAAGTTAAATTATCATTATTTGCTGATGACATCATATGATACATAGAAGATCCCAGAGACACCACCAAAAGACTACAATTAATAACCAAGTTCAATAACATGGCAGGATACAAAGTTAGCAATAAAACAAATCAATATCATCAAATCAAAACATCAATATCATATGAATGACAAAATAATTAAGAGCAAAATTAGGGACACCATACCTTTCAAAATAGCATCAAAAATGAAATACTTAGAATCAATCTAACAAACGAATCAAAAAACTTTTACATTAAAGACTATAGTACTTAGAAAAGAAGATTGAAGAGAATATGAGAAAATGGAAAGATATCCCGTTGTTGGATAGGCAGAACCAGTACAGTGAAAATTGTCATATTTCAAAACTGCTACACAAGTTCAGTGCAATTCCAAGCAAAATACCAATCGCATATTTCACAATAGAGAGTACAATCCTAAAATTCATGTGGAGTCAGATCACATCAAATTAAAGCATTTTTTCACAGCAAAAAAAAAAAAAAAAGCACACCAACAGAATGAAAAGACAACCCACAGAAAGGAAAAGAAAAGATTCTACAGCTACTTCTCAGATAGTACTAACATATGGAAAACACAATGAACTAAAGGAAAAAAATCATGTCTTTAAAACTGAAAGATCTGGCACAAAAATGAGTATCTGAACTGAGTAGACATTTCTCAGAGGAAGCAGTAAGGACAGCATATCTATGGCATCGTCACTGGTCACTCAAGAAATGAAATTGAAGCAGCTCTGAGATACTGAGATCCCGTCTCACTCCGTAAATAATAGCTTCTGTCAGTAAACCAACAGCAAATACTCATGAGGCTGTGTGGAAAAGGAAACCTGAAAGTTCACTGTAATTAATGAGATATAAATGATAGTATAACTGATAGCTTGCAGACTATGTAATTCAGAGCGCTAATATTTTATCTAAAGATAATGCTTCCCACAAATTCAGTAACATAATTTTAATAAAAATACGCTTTTACAAAACATTATCTATAGCAATGCTGAAATAATAGACATATTTAATTTTACATTTCAGTTATTCCTTTTCTTTCTGTATGTCTCTCTACGTCTGAATCAAATGCACACAACTTATTTAGACACACTTAGATGCATCAATAAGCCCATTTTCCTTGACTTTAAAAAATGTTTATAGAACACAGATATTTCAGACATCAAATAATTCATCAATAAATATTTTACTCTTTCTTTCTTGAATATTTTACTGTTATTTCCTGTTATACAAAGTGGTTCCTCATTTACTCTTCCAACTTAAAGAGCTAAACCAGGTGTTAAATAAGCATTCTAATTGAAATAAGTGATACAGAAGCAAATTTCTTTTATTCCTAATTTCGATACAAGGGTAAGCCTTACTAATGACCATTCTGATGACATACGCTGTGTTTCTTTGTGTTTGTTCCTTCATAGATGTGCCATCCAGTCCCTATGGGGTGAAAGTGATAGAGCTGTCTCAGACCACTGCCAAGATTTCTTTCAACAAACCAGACTCCCATGGAGGTGTGCCTATTCATCACTACCAAGTGGATGTCAAAGAAGTGGCGTCAGAAACCTGGAAAATAGTACGCTCCCATGGAGTCCAAAGTGAGCATCCAACATGTACTCATTAATTCACGTGGTTATCCAGCATGCCTGTATGATTAGCTTTTTATATTCCTTGAACATATTATTTTTCTTTCCATGTAGAGGAGCTGGAAAAATTTTTGACTGCCTTATGCTCACTAATATCATTTAAACAGACAGTGAAAATGCCTCCATCTTTTATTGTATTATTATTTAATGCTTTTGTTGTTTTATGAGATGTGAAGAATGGAAATCAAAACCTTGCACATCCTCAGCGCTGAGCTGTGCTCTCTCCTTCCACCTTTCAGTAAGAGAAGTGCTTCATAGAAGCATGAAAGTTTTATTCCAAGGGAAATTTTTACTTTTAAAAATTTTGTTGGTAGAAAATTCAATCATTTTGTGAAAAATATAGGTTTATTTTCTTAATATAAGTATTATAAGGAGAAGTTAACATATGAAATAATAAGAAAAATAGAAGTTGTAGCGTAATTTTGGAGCCAAAGTCCTACCTGTGGGGTCCCTGAAGGCCAAGCTGGGACACAAGCACCACGAAGTTATTCAGGCATACTGAAGCAGTTCAAGGCAGGAGAGGCCATTATGTGGCCATTCTAGGAGCACAGATACAGGGAGTTAACATCATTTCCCAAGAGGGTTGCAAATCTTTGGGGTTTTATAAAAAAGGACAAGGTTGAGTAGAGGGGTATGGTGTACGTAGGATTTGTACACCTGGCAATTTATTTAAGCCTGGTAAAGTTTTCTGGTTGATTAGTACAGCAATATCTTGGTTCAGCAACAATCCAGTTTGTGAATAATTTGATTCATGAACAAAAGTGTTTGGTAAAATTGGGCTTCCATTTTGGAACCACACATCAGGTGATTGTCTTCCCCATTCTGATGTGGGGCTTTGTCTGGTTGAGGCTGTAGTCAAAGAAACACTCATGCACATGTGCTATGTGAAGCTTTTCTGCATGCTTTTAAACACACACAGTACTGTATGTTATTATTCAATCCAGCATGCCTGCAAAGAAAGGGCAGAATGGTACTGAAGGGGACAAGAATGTGCATAGAATGAAGGTAACAAAATAGTGCAAAGCATGAGCAGTAAAGAAAATTTTGAAGAAAATAACCATTGAATTAAGGAAGGAAATTGTATAGAAGATACCCTTGGCATTTATGTGACTGTTCTGGATGCATATGACAAGATGACAAAGTGAACAGTCTTGATGATTTTCAAGAATAAAAATACCATTAAAGGAGCCTTGAGCAAAAAAAGGCATGAAAGAGGTGGAAATATTTTGTTAATAGGTTGAGTGAGAAACAACTGGATGCGATAACGTTAGTGATGCTAGAATTTGTGGTAAACCCAGAATTTTCTGTGATTTACTGATGAGTAAATCTATATGTGCAATAAGTGATGAATTTAAAGCCACTAGAGGGTAGTTTGATAAATTGCACAAGAGAAGTGTTTTCTACAGTGTGATAAAACCTGGAAAGGCTTCCAATTCTCACAAAATTTACAGAAATCTATAAGAATGAATTCAGGGTATTCCGGAAGACCGAAGGATATGCTGTTCAGAAGTGATCAGTGGTGATGAAACAGGGCTCCTCTGAAAGGAGACGCCAAGCAGAACCTTCATGACACTGGAGCAAGAGGCAGTGCTCGGGCGCAACCTCATGAAGGACAGATCGACCCTTTTCCTGTGTCTGAATACAGTGCAGATCTGAAAATTAAGCCCTGCAGGTCGACCATTTCCAGATCCCTCGAGTATTCAAGGAACAGAATATGAACAAGAGCGGACTGACTATCATGTGAATGGCCAGTGTGAAAGCTTCGATCACATGGAGATTGTTCAGGAGCTGGCTGCACATGATGTTTGCACCCACCATTTAGAAATAGCTTTCTGACAGCCACTTGCCTAAAAGGTACTGTCTTCTGATAGACTGCATCCCACCTTGGCAGATGATCTGGATGTTGAGTGTGACAGCATAAAGATCAATTCACCTCCCCTCAATGTAACACCTCTTCTGCAGCCCATAGACCAACAAGTGATCTGCAATTTCTAGAAGCTATGCATGAAGGTGTTCTTTAGCAGGTGTTTCATCACTAAAAAATGACCTTGATTCTATAAGAGTTCTGGAAGAAATAGTTCAATGTCCTTCACTGCATCAACCTCACAGACAAATGTTGGGAAGATGTCATGTACTGGACCTTAAGGTCAGCCTGTCACCATAATGTGTCACTGGACAAGACTTTGAAGAGTCTGACGCACATGTAGTGGCAAATTCCATCCTTTGGCAAAAGTGTGGGTCTGGATATCAATGGCGCATCTATAGAGGAGCTTGTTGACCATGAAGAGAAGCTGATGATGGAAGAACTTGCTGAACTCCAGGGTGAGCAGTAAAAGTAGCTTTGAGGAGTGGAAGAGAACAATGAGGAGTTGATGGAAAAAGGGAAAGAGTGGCAGGATTTCTTTGAGAGGCACCACCCAAGATAATGGTAAGGAACAGTGTTGAATCTGATGACAGTAGTGTGATCCTTTATTTCCAAAGTTATGCAGGACAGGAAGAATCAAGTGTCACTAGACAAATTGTTCATCAAAACTGATTCTGCTGCTAAAATCAAAGAGGTGAGGAAACCCATGAAAGAGATCTCCATGATGGAGTTTTGGGGCAGAGGACTCTCCCACCAAATAATAACCTCTTCCCCACCCACCTTCTGGTCCTCCATGCCAGAAGCTTCTCATGCAAGGTTAGTGTTCTCTCTTCACACTATATGGTACAGTACAGTACATTATCTCATGTTTTTTGTGGTTAAAAATCCATATGATTATTTACCTCCAACCTTTTGGAAAATTTTACTTGGTTCATTACCGATTTGGTGTGTTACTGGAATCATAGAACAAATTAAGTTTGTGAACTCAGGCACCTCTGTATGTCAGGACTGTGAGGTTCTGGGAGAATCCTCAACACCTGAAGGTTCCATCTGGTTCCCAGGATGACTTGGTGTCTTTTGCTTTGAAGACAGCAATTCTTTTCCATTGTGGACTAATTTGTGCTCATTGAGAGTGACTCACTGCTATCTTCAAAGCTCTCCTTTTCTTGAAATACAAGGTGATTTCACATTTATGACAGGTGCCTTCTAAGCACTACCCCAAGGGATCAGGAACTGGGCACTGTCAAAACTGGTAAGTTGATGTTCCTGCAAATACTGAAAGTCATTTTAGTTGCCCTTACCTTAATGCCTTCTGTCTTAAAGGAGGATGACATAGACTAGGTAAATTTTGGGGTAATAAATATTATAATGCAGACTTTCCCTGAGGAATGAGCATGCCTACATGGAGAGCTGAGTTAATAACAGTATATACATAACTGAAGGTAGATATCCAAATCTGTGTCTTCCTTTGGTCAGCCACTGGGGGATCCACAGATCTGTTCTCCATGTCTCTGTTACCTATTAAATTATCCAGAAGATGAGCACAAAACAGGGGCACAACCAATGCCCTATGGATATGTACATGTCCAGTCTTGACATGTACAAGTATCAAGTCAAGGCTGGGTTTCAGTATTAAGTGTGCATCCTTCTGAGAAGAAGCAGTAACCAATCCAAATAGATATGGACAATGGGCAAATGAAATTCTTCCTATGCTACCTGATTTAATATCTGATTATTCATTTCTCATTGATGATACATACAAGTTTTTGGTACGCTATTAATTCTGTC